AAAAGAGTAACAACAAGGCCCCAAGCTACAGCCAGGGGGGGGGGCACCTGCCGGAAAACCGGTACCGTAGCGTCCCATAAAAACTTTGAGACTAGTAAGGGGCTCGCCACACCACTGGCGAAAAAACAATTTTCGATTCCATAGTGTTTCATCGCCGCACAGCCTTTCGAAAATGAAGACGGGGAAAAAAAAAAAAATTGCTGGTTGTCGGAGAAAGCCTTCTTCTCAGCACCTCCTTTCGAAGGTGTGTCCATCCCCTGCTTGCAACTCCGTCGTTTTCAACGGTCCTCCGCTCCGTTATTGAGCCCTCATCGGAATTTGGTGGACGGGCCTGGGACGAACGAATGCTTGTCCCATCCTCGGGCCCGTTTGTCCATTTCCGGTTTGCATTCAAAAGTGCCGTGTGGCTAAAAGGTGGGACACTGTCGAACGGGCGGCTGTCGAATTTCTTCTGACAGCCATCATTTTTTTTAGCCTTTCGACTGTCGTGTGGCGAGCCCCTAAAACCCTAAGACAGGTGAAGTGGTGGCGTGGGGCCGCCGGTGGGGGTCCGGCTAAGGGAGGGACCGAGCTTTTCGCCAGTAGCTGCGCCTCCCTTTTCATCGCGCCCTCCCCCTCCCCTTGCCCCCCCCCCCCCCCCGCAAATCGTGCCACATGAATACCTTAAGTTTGTCAGGCCCTATGCTTGCAGGGGTCCCCTCTAAATCTTTCCAAATTGTTATTTATTAAAATTAAAAAAAATATATATATATATATATAGCCCTGGGCTAATGCAGGACACCAGCAAGAACAAAAAAAAACAAAAAAAAAAAGGACACCAACAATGCGCTTTTTTGAGTCCTTTCAACTTTTTCTTACTTCGACTGGCAAGTTAAGTGGGCGTTTGCAGATTTTAATTTTGAATTAATATCTGTACACTTATCAGGCGTATACTCTTTAACCAACTGAGGGCAATACTCATACTAGGACTTTTCCTACTTAATTATTGACATAATTGCAGTCAGATGCATCCAGATCTGCCTGTAAATGCAGTCAAATTCATTCAAGATAGACCTAGTGTGAGAACGTCCTGAGTTTTGCCTTCCGAAACAACCTTTTACAATTCATTCCCACATCGGTCACCGTCAGCAGGTTCCTCCATTGCTACGATGACGACATTAAAAAAAAAAAAAAAAAAAAAAAAACAATCATGTAATCAGCTTCCCTCATTTGTGGATTCCTAAAACTTTCCCCCACTTGTGCGCAAGGTGCAG